GAAATTTTCTTAAAATAGAAACTTTTAAAAAATAGAAATGTAGATATTTCCTGGGCACTTTGCCAATACATGTGGGTATTTGGAATTGGGGCATTATTAAAAACTCACTCCAGCGTACTTGGAAGCCAAATAATAGAATGTTAGATTCTAGATCTATTGTGATTACCATGCTAAGTGCTTTTTCATGCTTGGGTTCATTAATTTTGTGCCGTCTTTAAGTCCTTGTTCACAATTGGTTTTCTGCATTAGATAAAGCTGTAGACCCCACATTTGTAAGACCTCATGAGTACTGAGGTGTTTGGGGAATTGCAAGTTTCAGGATCATGCCAGAATGAAAATGACAGGTAGCAGAAATATATGTCATCTTGTTCTCATTTAGAATGGTTGTAGCTTGCCTCTGACTACATATAAGTTGTTGAAGCTATCTAGCTCTCTGTCAGCCCCACTTTATGACACTGTGAGGCAGATAGTCTTTGAGGAAGTAAAATCAATTTAAAATGACTCACACAAAAAAAATAATCATTAAATCTTACATAAGTTTTCAGACCTTACAGATTTTAGGTAGGAGTTGAAACCTTCCAAGTTTTTTTTTTTTATCCTCAACTGAGGACATTTTTTTTTTTTTTGCATCTATCTTCAGATAGAGCTGGAGGGAGAGAGAGAAACATTGATGCGAGAACACATCTAGTGGTCACCACCCACACGACCCCTACTGGGGCTGGGGACAAACTGCAACCAAGGTATGTGCCCCTAGTGGGAACCGAACCTGGGACTCTCTAGTCCATGGGCTGACACTCTAACCGCTGAGCTAAACTGGCCAGGGCCATTCCAAGTCCTTGAGCGGAGGAAAATTTGTCTGTCACTTTGAAATTGAAAAGGACATACAAGACAGCCTTAGCTGGGAGGCACTGTGGGAGGTTTTATGCCCTGCGCCCAGGTTCCTGTGAGCCAGTAGGAAGGCCAGGCAGTGAGGAGGTGCAGGAAGTCAAAGCTTCTACTGTCCCCAGAAAAGACAGTTTAACCTTAGAGGGACCATGTTGAATTACCATTCCTTTCAAAGTTCTTCATCAGTCTGAGTTTAATTTCACCATGTTTATTAACAGCCATTTGCTCGGGGAGATGGTCTTTTTGAGGAATCTTCCATGTTTAAATATGTTTAGCTTTTTATTTAAAAAATGTACATATGTGGCAAAGTATTAAAACAGTGAAGAAGGCTGAAAAACTAGTCTTCTCCTTCCCCAGAGCTTTGTCCTTAAAGTGATGTTCTGTGCATATTCAAGGTGTATTGTGCCTCTTGCTATTTGGGTGATGTTGACAGAAAGAGCCTAGCAACATGGGCAAAGGATGCACATTCTTTTCACACAGGTGGCCAGCTAGAACAGGAAGCTCGCAGTATTCCCCCTTGTGAGGGGCCAGTTGGCCTGGCCTTAGAACTGTAAGACCTCTTGATCAGGGTCAGAACCCCCTGTGTCCTTCTCCCTGCCCCTCCCAACTCTTCTGGAGTCTGGTGTGCTTGGGCTGCTGCTATCTGCTCACCAGAACAGACAGGCGACCACCTCAGCATACTCCCTGGCATTTGTCTTCTTCCAGCATGATGTTCCCTAAGTTGTCCAAGGCTGTAGTCTGCTTATTACTCTTATAGATATTTCTAAGCATACATAGAATCCAACTTGCTTTTCTTTTTTAATTTTTTTTTTTTAATCCTTATCCAACACATTTTTGCATTCATCTTCAGATAGAGTAGGAGGGAAAGAGGGAGGAAGAGAGAGAAAAACATTGACGCTAGAGAGACACATCGAGTGGTTGCCACTCACATGACCACAACCAGGGCCACCGTCAAACTGCAACGGAGGTACATGCCCTTAGCAGAAACCGAAACCAGGACTCTCCTGTCCGCGGGCCGACACTCTAACCGTTGAGCCAAACCCGCCAGGGCCAACTTGCGTTTCTTTTTACCAAGTATACAATATACCTTTGACATATTTATATGCCAGAACATATTCTCATTCTTTTTCATAATCGTAAATAGTGTTTCACTGTATGGGAGTATAATAACTAGTTCCCTATGATGGACATTTGTTTCTAGTTTTGTCATTACAAACAGTGCTTTAAATGAAATAGAAATTTTCATATATGTAGCTTTGTAAATTCAAAAAGTGAAAATACATTGTTGGCCCTGGCCAGATAGCTCAGTTGGTTAGAGTGTTGTCCCAATATGCCAAGGTTGCTGGTTTGATTCCCAGTCAGGGCACATACAAGAATCAACTGATGGCCCTGGCCGGTTTGGCTCAGCGGTTAGAGCATTGGCCCAAAGACCAAAGAATCGCAGGTTTGATTCCAGTCAAGGGCATGTACCTCGGTTGCAGTTCGGTCCCAGGCCCTGGTCGGGGTTGTGTGGGAGGCAACCAATTGATGTGTCTCTTTCATATCTATGTGTGTCTCTCTCTCCTCTCTCTACTTTCTCTCCCCTCTCCTTTTTTCTCCCTCTCACTCTACCGATAAATGGAAAAAATACCTCAGGTGAGGATTAAAAAAAAAAATCAAATGATGACCCTGACCAGTGTGGGTCAGTGGTTAGAGCACTGGCCCATGCACAGAAGGGTCTCAGGTTTGATTCTCAGTTAAGGGCATGTACCTGGATTGCAGGTTTGATCCCTGGCTCTGGTCTAGGTGCTTTTGGGAGGTAACCAATCGATATGTCTCTCTCACATCAGTGTTTGTCTCCTCCCCCCCTTCTAAAAAAAAAAAAACAATGGAAAAAATATCCTCTGGTGAGGATTAACAAAAAGAAAAAAAGAATATTTCAATGAATGCACATATGTGAAACCATAAATGTTTCTCCCTCCCCCTTCCTCTTTCTAAAATCAGTCAATCAGCCCTGGGCCAGTTTTGCTCAGCAGTTAGAGCGTCACCCCGCCGACCAATGAATCCCAGGTTTGATTCCAGTCAAGGGCACATCCCTCGGTTGTGGTTCAAACCCGAGGCAACCAGTCTGTGTGGCTCTATCACATCGATGTTTCTCTCTGTCTGGTCTCTCTCCCTCCCTCTCACTTTGTCTGATGATAAATGGAAAAATATCCTCAGGTGAGGAATAAAAAAATATAAAATTCTAAAAAAAAATAAATGCCGTGTCTAATTGGCTCTAGATGGACGTTTGACTATTGAATGTCCTGAGAGATTAGACTGCTGTCAGACATAGCCCATGGACATGTACATGGTCATAGTAAAATGGAACTTCCAGATTATAAACAGTGGAAGATAGAAGGGACACCTATTAGAAACTGTACAGGAGAAGTTGGCTGCACGAGGGCTAAGTGATCTGTGGGGCCGCAATGAAGCTTGGAGATAACATGAGTGGCTTTGCAAATAATGTTTCCTTTGTTGGTGCATTATTAAAAGGATTCACACGGGGATTTGCTGCATTTGTGGTAGCTGTAGGAGTTGAATATTACCTGGAGTCCCAAAATAAAGATAAGAAGCATCACTGAAGATAATATCTGGAAGTATCTTAGTGACTTAACTCTCTTATAAAAATAAGATTTCTTCACTGTAGCCTACTCATCTGCATGTCCCTTAAAGAATACTGGTAAGATTTAATAAAGAATATGTGTACCAAAATAAAAAATAAAAAGAAAATCAATAAAAGAAATGTGTAAAAAGTACATGATCAAAGGATATTAAATGTTGATAGATACTGCCAAAAACTAAAGTACCAATTGCCATAGGGCATCATTTAAACCGGGCCCCAGCTCCACTTTTGAAAAACAGCTACCATTTCTGAGATCATAATATAAACTTCACTCTATTTTCCCCCTTCTCTGGCAGGTGGGCATCAACTACCAGCCCCCAACTGTCGTCCCTGGGGGAGACCTGGCCAAGGTGCAGCGGGCTGTGTGTATGCTGAGCAACACCACCGCCATTGCTGAGGCCTGGGCCCGCCTGGACCATAAGTTCGACCTCATGTATGCTAAGCGAGCCTTTGTGCACTGGTATGTGGGGGAGGGCATGGAGGAAGGGGAGTTCTCCGAGGCCCGGGAGGATCTAGCAGCTCTGGAGAAAGATTATGAAGAGGTGGGCGTGGATTCGGTGGAAGCAGAGGCTGAAGAAGGGGAAGAATACTGATTGGGAGAGTTGTGCTGGCATCCGTCCCTTTGTATCCCGCCCCACAATAACATTACAAGATGTTTACCTATTAAAGTTTCTGTATTGAGGCATCATCTGTCCCTTGTGCTGCACTTTGACAACATACAGATATCTGCCTTTTTCCAAGTGGATTTGTAGGGGGGAAAACGCCTCCCCTCAAACGGAAAAAAATAAGCATGTCTGATGTTTAGTTACCGCATTACTCCCAGAAAGACGGCTTCAAACAACACGGCAGAGGGAATTAGGGAAAAGTAATTCAATTATTTTAAATTGAAACATTCTTAAATCCTTTGTTCCATACTTCGTGTTCTTTGAAAAATGGAATAGTAACCCTGTTTTTTCTAAGCTGTGGAGTGGGCTGTTTTCACCCTTAGTCTTGTGGGAGGGGTCAGGGAGGCAGCCCCGCCCAACACAAACCCAGTTTCTGACCTCCCTTTCCAGGAAGGCCTTCAGCTTTTCCATTTCAGGTCCCTGCCGGCAGTCGCTAGCATAGAACTTCCCATCACATTTTCCCGCCTTTCCCATTAGAGGCACCTCTCCAGAAGTCGTGAACACTGGTTTTTGTCAGGTTTGAACTCGCATCCCTGCCCCTCTTCTTGCCGTTTAAGTTTATTCTCTTGCAGTGGGGGCCTCCCGAGACGACCTGCATGGTCGGGCCCCACTGCACTACCGGTCTGCAGCCAGTAGTAAGCCCCGAAAAGACAAAGGAGAGGCGCCTACTTTGCGAAGGCGAAGACGTCCAGAGTGCTTAGGACAACGCGCGTACTGCGTTGGCCCTACGTTCCCACGGCTTCCGGGACCCGCCCCGCCCCCCGGACGAACGCCCTGGGCTTCCCAGTCTCTATGGTACCAACTTCCGTCGCTAGCCACACCTCGCGAGACTCCGCGGCTCAGCAATGGCGAGACCATGAATGCCGCCGACGGAAGTCAGGAGAAGAGGCTGGGACGGGGTTCGGGCGAGATCAAGCTGTGGGAGATTCGGCAGGACAGGGCCGCCTGAAGGGAAGCGGCGGCTGGGGGCTCGATGCCTCTACGGGCCCAGACAGCCATCCGCGACCAAGCTCCCGCCTCTTCCCCAGATGCCGCGTCACTGCTCCGCCGCCGGCTGCTCTACACGGGATACGCGCGAGACGCGCAATCGCGGCATCTCCTTCCACAGGTCAGCGCGCGTGCGTGCTGCCTCACGAAGGTTAACGTGCGCATGTGCAGTTTTGCTGGCGTGAAGCCACTATTGCGCATGCGCTTTCTTTGGTTGCGGGCGAGGCTTGAACTTGTGGGTGGGAGTGGGTGAAGGGAGAGGTCCAGGTGGGACTGAGTCCGGACCAGAAAGGAAGGACGCACGTCCACCACTCTTCTCTGCCCCGCGACTCTTGCTAGATGATGCCGAGCAAGTTGCACGTGTTTTTGAGTCCTCAGTTTCCTCGTCTGTGCCCGGGTGGACGGTGCTTCTCTGGTAGGGTTTAAGGGAGGTCTGGCAGCATGTGCAGGGCCATCTCTTCCCATCTTGGGAGCATTGGCAGCATGGCCCCATGGTTTCAGGCAGCCTGGGGCTCACAGGTTTGTGGCTCTACAGACTTCCCAAAAAGGACAACCCAAGGCGAGGCTTGTGGCTGGCCAACTGCCAGAGGCTGGACCCCAGCGGCCAGGGCCTATGGGACCCAGCATCCGAGTACATCTACTTCTGCTCCAAACACTTTGAGGAAAACTGCTTTGAGCTGGTGGGAATCAGGTGAGTCTCCTTGCTAGCCACCCTTGGGGCATCTGTAGGGCCCAATGAGGACATCCTTGAAGCACCTGGCACGAGAACAGGCAGACCTGGTTTCAGAGATGGCTGCCTCTTCTCAGCTCTGTACCTGTTTTATCTTCTGACAGATGAGGACAATAAGACCCACCCCCTCAGGATGACTATCTCAGTGACACAAGAGAAGAACATTAGTTTTTCCAGCAGGTGTTCCTTAGAACCCCAGTTCTCCCATCAAGTCCACAAATTAAATAATTCTTTTTGACTGATCAAGCCAGTTGTGGTGGAGCCTTTCCATGCACTTTAACTTTGAAGAGTCCTGCAGGGAAGAGATTGGTGTAACTCTAACTTGGCATTCCCCAAACTGTTTGCTTGCGCTGGAGAGCCTGCTCTGGGGTGCTGGAGGGCATGCTGACTCTGAGCCCCTACTGGTCAGCTGTGGGTGGCAGTGCTTGTTCTCCATCTCATCCAGGCTGCTTTCCCCCACAGTGGGTACCACAGGCTAAAGGAGGGAGCAGTTCCCACGATATTTGAGTCTTTCTCCAAGTTGCGCCGGACAACCAAGACCAAGGGGCACAGTTACCCACATGGTCCCCCTGATGTCAGTCGGCTACGGCGATGCAGGAAGCGGTATGTGCTACGGGTGGGGAGAGGTGACCCCCTCACTCCAATTTTGAGGGACTGGGCTTTAGAGTGTCTACCAAAAGACATTGTGGACAGGGTCCTAAACCTGTGGAGCAGACTGACACTCCTATTCAGGGTGGCTGGTGAATTGGGGTTTGGCAAGCCCTTAGCCTGACCTGTCAGTCTCGCTGCCCACAGCTGCTCTGAAGGCCGAGGGCCCACAACTCCTTTTTCACTGCCTCCACCTGCTGAGGTCACCTGCTTTCCTGTGGAAGAGGCCTCTGCACCTGCTGCTTTACCTGCCTCCCCCACTGGGAGGCTGGAGCCTGGCCTTAGCAACCCCTTCTCAGACCTCCTGGGGCCTCTGGGTGCCCAAGCGGATGAAGCAGGCTGCAGTGCCCAGCCTTCACCAGAGCGGCAGCCATCCCCTCTTGAGCCACGGCCTGTCTCACCCTCAGCCTACATGCTGCGCCTCCCACCACCTGCTGGAGCCTACATCCAGAATGAGCACAGCTACCAGGTGGGCAGTGCCCTGCTCTGGAAGCGTCGGGCTGAGGCTGCACTTGATGCCCTGGACAAGGCCCAGCGCCAGCTGCAGGCCTGCAAGCGGCGGGAGCAGCGGCTGCGGCTGCGGCTGACTAAGCTACAGCAGGAGAGGGCGCGAGAGAAGCGGGCACAGGCAGATGCCCGCCAGACTCTAAAGGAGCATGTGCAGGACTTTGCCATGCAGCTGAGCAGCAGCATGACCTGAATGAGGGGCCACTGGATCCAAAGCTGTCTGAGGGGCTGCCCTCCAGGGCTCCAGCCTCTTCGTCAGAATCCAACTGGAAAGGAACCTGATCTGGGCTGCATCCACCAGACCTACTAGATGCCATAATAAAGTGGATTCTAGGAGGCCCTGTATCTGGTTCACCTGGGGAGTGGGCCCCCTTCCTCAGTACCAAACTGTTCCCCCAGACAATGGCTGCAGACCCTGAGTCCAAGCTCTGGACTGTGGGACCTTGCCCACCCCTCCCCATACAGCTCTGTGCCCCACGGGTTTCTCTGAGGGATGGGATGGTGTGAGTCGAGGCTGGGGGCAGCACTAGGCACCCTTCCTTTGGCATCTGAAATGGCCTTGACTTAAGCAAGCTAGTTCCTTTGAAAACACTCCTAAAATCCATACCAGACTGTTCTTTGCAGAGACACAGACTTCCAGCAACAGGCCCAGTCTGCCCAGCCTGAGTCCTAGCCTGAAGGCCAGCCCCCTACTCACTACTGGGCCTATCTCATCTGCAGACAGACAAGAATGGCAATTTCTGACCTCCTGGGGCTACTATGCTTGGCAAGTAAGCTCAACAAATAACATTTCTGGTCCCTGGAGAATTGGGGGAACCACGCAACAGCAGTCCTGACCTCAACCTGTGTCCCCATTTTTCATCAACTTGACTGGAATTTAGAAGGTCTCCTGCATTTGTAATCATGGCAAACGTCAGTATATGGAGCAATTTTAATTGCACAGGTGACATCTCTGATGGGCCTTGGACACAACAGCCCCAAGAGCACAGCTGAATTCTAGTCCTGTGAATTGCCACACAATTTGGTCCGCTGTAGAACAGGGTTTGCAGATTGTTCCCCAAGGTCCCCAGGTTCATTTTCTGGCTTAGGCTAGGCTCCCCTTGCCTAAGGGTGCTAGCCTGCCAGCAGGGCTCCCCATCCACCTGCATCCAGGCTCTTCAACAAGGTCTGAGGAATGGCAGGTACTATGGTTGCATGAGACACAACCAGAGGAAGGAAATGAGTTTTGAGGCAGGGAAGAGAGATCATTTCCACCAAAGTGGCTTACAGCAGCTGGGACAGAATGGTCCCTGGGATTCTTGTTCTCAGAAAGGCAGAACAGTGCCTTCCCCATTGGGGTAGAATCACACAGGGCCTTCTGTCGGAACAGGGAGGGATGCATTTCCAGCCCATGCAGGAGCCTGCAGTACAGCATATGGGAGGAGGGGGGTCGCCCCAGGCTTAAACTCCAGCCTTTAGATTCCTGCCACAGCCCCTTCCCCCATGTGTCTAGATTGCCTCAGGTGGAAGTGGGAAATTGCTGACATGGATAAAGAACCAGGCAAAACTGACCAATTCCAAGCAAGCAGGCCAGATGGCCAGTCCACAGCTTTGGGAGGGCCATAGGCTGTGGCCAGAGCCCACAGTGGGGACTGTGTCAACAAGTTGTGAGTAGGTAGCACTGCCGTGTCTTTAATGGAGGCATGTCTGTGACAGAATACTTAGTGGAGGATATCTTCACTGACTTTTCCTTAGCACAGCCCAGGGCACTGATGTACACACAGGTATATGGGATCCTGAAGCCCCTCTGGAATCCAGGCCCAGTCCAGTGTGGTTGGCCCTGTGGGCTGGACGCTGACCTCAGGGCCCTTCACACTCCATAATTCATCTTGAAGGGCACCAAAATTCATCTTGAATCAGAGTCCATCTGCCCATAACTCTTGCCCACACACAAGCTCCAGGTGATAGGAGGAGCCCCCTTACACCAACCTTGGTGAGGGGGTGCTGTGTGGCCCCCACATCAAAGAGATCTTTGCAACATGACTTTGTGGTCAGATCCACAAGCTATGCTGGGTCCCTGCTGGGTGGAGGCCCCAAAGCCAGCTCCCTGGTGGGCTCTCCCCATTGCTGGGCCCTGGCCTGGACCCCTTCTCTTGCTATCATCACTAGGCCCTAGCTTCCCACCCACCTCTCCACCCCAGGAGAGGATGCCATCCGGGGAGCCTTCTTCACCATCCACTTCCTGTGGAACCTGTGTTGTCAGCAATGAAATGGGGCATTTGGAGCCCCCCTTGTCCTCTCAGCTCTCTTCTGATGCTCTAGGCACCCTTTTGGCCGGCAGGTCTGACCACTCTGTCACAGGCCTGAGGATTGCCAGCAGTTTTCGCAAGGGGCAGAGCAGGCATGGTCATTCACGTGTGGGCTGACACCGCCTGGGCCCTTATATGTCGGCGCCCAGCTCTGCACACTGCTTGTCAGAGATATGGGAGGCCAGGGAGTCTATGATGTCGAGCAGCAGCTGCTGGCTCAAGGAGCGCAGCGTAGGCAACTTGGAGACCTGCAGGAGGTGACCAAAAGGCCAGAACAGAATGGAACTGGATTCGTGTGAGGGCTGGGTGTGCTCCAGAGATGGGGTGAGGAGTGGCCAGTGGGTGGGTGGCTCTGCTTGGTTATCCCCAGGGCCCACTGCTGCAGAAGATAGCCAGATTCCAGGCACCCTCCCCGCCCCTGACCACTGGTAGAGTGGCTCCTGAATACGAGGGGTAAGCAAGGGCTGAGCCAGGAGGGCCCTGACCTTAGTGAACTGATGCACGATGATGTGCAGGCAGTGCCGCTTCATGTCCAACGCCTGCGTCTTATCAGCCGCCTCCAGGATCTGGAATGGCAGGTTCATTGAGGTGCTGCCCGACCTCTCACCCACCCGCCCAGGTTCAGGGAGTCCAGCAGGCACCAGGTATACTACCTGCAGCACATTCTGCACTGTCACATTCATCTCCAGGTTCTGCTTGCAGTATGCCTGCAGCCGGTTGTTGTAAAAGCCATAGTAGTAGGGGGCCGCAAACAGGTAGCTGGGGGAGCTGGTTAAGGAGCTGTCACCAAAGGAGACATCCTCCCGCTTACCACCCTCCTCCCAAGAGAGTTCCAGCCTGCCAGGGGCAGAAAAAAATCTGAGACTACACCTGGTCAGAACCAGGGGGCTCACCCCATCAGGAGGGTCTGGCATGGGTTCCTATCCAGGCAGATCACTGGCTTGATCTCTGCACAGACTCTGACCACTTAGGGGTCAAAGGCCCCATCAAAATTTAAAGGATAACAAAGAATCCTCTCCCCGGGAATATACCCATATGCATCTTTGCTGAACTGTCCTGTCTCCCAGAGCCCTAGAGGGCATCCTCGCACCCCATTTTCAGACCCCCACTGACGTAACATGACCAAGAATCACTCTATATCCATCTGCTTCTGTTGTATAGAGCAGTGACTGACCCCTTACTCTGAGCAGTCATGAGAGTCAAGAACCCACCCGTCTCTCCCTCAGTGTGGGCCGACCAACTACTTCAGAGAACCCTAGGAGAGCTCCAGGCACCAAGAAATCCTCAGGAAATCACCTGGCCAAGACCAGCCAGCCCAAGATAGATGCCGGAAGCCCCAGTGATGACCTAGGAGCGCCCTCAGGGTGAGGATGCAGCGAGTCCTCAGGAGGCATGTTGACCTCACCGTAGTAGATGTAGCGTAGCATGGACTCGAAGGCCTGCCTGCTGGGCACCATCTCCCCAATGGAGATGTTTACCTGCCCATCCTCAGGCATGAAGGACCGGAACATGGCCTCAAAGTAGCTGCAGACGGGGCGCAGAGGCCTGGCTCTCAGCAGATGTAGTCAACACTGGGGCCCGCCCTGCACGGCAGCTGCACTCCCACCTACCTGGAGCGGGCAGCCAGAATGGCCTTGTGGGCTGGCCTAGGGTGCCCATCCAGCAGCAGCGTGATGTCACAGAACTCTGCGCCTGCTCCCTCCAGGTATGCCTTCATGTCCTGGATCAGAGAGGTGCCTGGGGGGGTGGGGGGGCATGGAGGAACCCTGAGCAGGCACCTCCTTCCCCTTAGTAGACCCTACTCCTGGCTCAAGCCTCAGGGCCCCAGGGCACTTCCTGCACATCTGCCCATTTTGCTACTTTGAATGAACCTCCTCCAGGCCAGAGGCCTCCCATTCTGGCCCCCGAGGCACCACCAGACACTATCCTCAGCTCCAAACACACCCTCAGGCCTGCCCACCCCAGAGTCTGATCTCCCAAACTCAGCTCACTGAGCCTTCCTCTGGGCCTGGCACACCCTGTGTGCCTGCTTTGTGTCACCCAGAGCCAGTGGCCTGAGGCAGCACAGGCCCCAGGGAGAGGTCAGGATGAAGGAGCCTGTGTCCTCCCTTCCTAGGGGGAGCACAGGGAGGCAGTGGGAACATCTGAGGTCTGCAGGCTGTTCTCACTCCTCACGGCCCCAGATGTGGGTATGCCTAGAAGAGAAGCTTAGTGACTAATGGCTGTGACCCTGAGCACATTGCCCACTTCAGAGGTTTTCAGACCTGACATCATTCAGGGCAGGCATGCTTGCCAGAGAGGTGCCCTATGTCACCTCCAGAAATGGGCTCAGGAGGTTCCCTACCCTCAGGCACACAGCCCACTGTGGAAAGCCCCGTGGATTGGGCATTATTCCTTTAAGTGATACTGAACTGCCTCCCTCTTTTGCCCCTGTACTGGGGCAGCACTCTGGGGTCCTCCCTGCACCCAACTCTCCACCCCTGCCTGACAAACTGGCAGGTGATTCCATGGCTCCCAAGTCTCAACCAACATGAATGCCACCTGGCCAGCCACTGATAAGGAAGGGACGAGGCTCCCTACCAATGTCCACAGGCTGGTCTGAGGGGGCGCGGGGCGGTGGCTGCTGCTTTCGCCGAACAATTTCCACAATCAGTGGGGATGAGAGGTGCTCGAACTCCTTCATCATGATCACCTGGTTGAAGTGGGACTCCTTCACCACAAAGTTCAGGCAGTGCTCCTGGGACAGAAAGGCCAGGCAGGCAGCGGGGTCAGGCCTCAGCTTCCAACAGGGCACCAGACCGGGACAGAGGTTTGCAGGGTAGGTGGGGTGGGGTGGGCTGCAACGCACCTTCAGCTGGCCCAGCTGCAGCCTGGCAGCACTCTCACACACAACCAGCACGTTCTGCAGGTCCACAGAGGCCTCGATGTACTGCCGGCACAGCTGCTCCAAGCGGCACAGCTGGAAGCTCAGTGCCAACTTGTACACGTCCATGATGAGCAGCACGTCCTCCACATGGCCTACACCCAAGGGCTCCCTGAGCCTTACGGACCTTGGTCAGGGGAGGACAGGGCCCCGAGCTCCCTCCATAGACAACTGTGGGTGGGTTGGAGCTGCTAGGCAGCAGCGAAACCACGCACAGGTAGTCTCAGCCTCTGAGGCTCAGGCTGCCCACCTGCAAGTAGGGCTGCTCACACCCCACCCTGTTCCTGCTCCACCCCAGCCCAAGCAGACCTTTCCTCGGGTATTTGATCTTGTCGGTGTAGAGGAACTGCATGAGAACCTCGAAGGGCCGGGCCTCGGCCTCTCGGATGGCCACATGCAGCAGGGGTGGCCGAGCCCCACCCAGGGCCACACCAAGGGCTTCCCTGGGAGCCAGAGCTGCCTCCTCATCCAGCTTCTGTGGGAGGAGAAAGAGGAGCTTAAGGTCACCCCATGAATGCTGCTGCCCAGGTAGGGCCAGGCAGGGCAGCGCCTCACCTGGGCCAGTCGCTCCTTCGCCTGTACTATCTTCCTGCGGAGCCAGCGGCTTCGTGCTGTGACAATGGCCACGTGGCCCTGAACACACTCCTCCTTCTGCAGCAAGAATGACACCTTGGTGGAAGGGCATAAGAATCTTGCCCCAAAGAACACACAGGCTCAGCAAGCCAGGCAGGGACTTAGGGACTCAGGCACCAGTGGGCAGCCAGTATGCCTCTGGGTGCAAAGCCCCCACTCCACACCGTGTGTGGAGCTGGGCACAGGAAGGGCACCCACCTCACCCAGCACAAACTCCACATCACAGAACTGACGGCTCTCCCATAGCCGCCCATAGTCTTCATGGAGCGTGCACTTGGGGTAACAGGAAAACTGTAGGAGGAGACCCAGGTGTTACCAAGTAAAGACACAGTCATCCTGGCTTTGCCCCCTGCAGGCCATGGGTGCCCTTGAGGCTTCAGTTCCAAGCTCAGTTTAGCCTGGCTCCCTCCACTGACCCAGGGAGCTCCCAGAACTCTATTGGCTCTGCTATGAGCCCTCACCCTGCCCCACCAGCCACACCCTGCACTGTGGTTCCTACCTGCCTTAGCCTAGGGTCCCCCTCTCCACCCCAGCTGCCAGACTCCTCAGAAAGGCTGCCATCCCACCAGCTGCAACTCTGGCTCTGGATACCCTTGGACAAGTTCCACCCCTACCCACTGGGTCTGAGTTTTCATCATCAGGGCCTGCTCCCCCTGGCTGGCCCCACTGCAGAGTCAGTTCATGAGGTAACCACCTGCTCTGCAGGCCCGTGAGCCCCACCTGGAACCTGTACATCTCCCCACTACGGATGTTGTTGTCCACGGTGCCCCCGAAGATATACATGGCATCCGAGATCACAGCAGCCGCGTGGAAGAGCCTTCCGCTGGGCAGCTGGGTGGAGAGGGGGACAAGTCAGCAGGGTGAGAAAGGGTGGGGTTGGGTCTCCAGCTAGGTGAGGCCTGGAGTGGACCATACTGTGGGCAAGAACATGGCACCACTGGCCTTGAAGGAGGGGCTGGAGCAGGCTGCAAGCACAGGGCAGGAGGCAGGGCCTGTGTGGCCCACAGTGGACTCAGCAGGTGCTCAGTCTCATATGCTGCATTGACATGGCCCAGCCAGCAGGGCATAGGCTCCTGGCCCTCAGTTCCCTTACTGTGTGAACCCAACAAGTACTCTCTGAGTCTTGGTTTCTCCACCTTTGAGATGGGCTGATCACAGGCCCGGCTTCAGAGGGTGAGGGAGCAGTAACAAGGACACTGGCTCTCACCTCTGAGGCTGGTGGGGATGGCTGCTTGGCATTCGTGGTGCCAAAGTCCAGGCCAAACACATCTCGGGACTTCTTGAAGCCGCCCCGATCGTCAGAGGGCAGGGCAGGTGCCTCCTCAGAAGCAGCTGCTCGTTCTGGCACCTCAGCCCCACAAACCTGGTGGGAGACATGCGGGGGTGCCACCAGTCAGCAAGAGCCAGGCAGGCACCAGAGACACCAACAGCGCTGTGGGGACAGGTGGCAGGGAGGGAAGAGCTACAGGATGAGGGCTGAGTTGGGGAGCTGGGAGGACATCCTCAGCACAGTGCAAACACAGTGGGAAGTGGAATCTTACAAGCCTACAGGCTACAAGATGGGGGAATAGGCAGAGAGGCCCAGGGACGGGCCAGGATAGGTGTCCAGGGCTGAGGGCATCCTGGCCTTGCTCCTTGCTGGCTGTCTGACGCCCTGGGAGCACCGAGGCTGTGAGGAGGTGGGAGCAGGTGGGTTAGGAACACACCCCAGGCCACAAGCCCTGGGTCCCCTCACAACACCCGGCAGTGCTCACTTCGCTGTCCGAACTGGGCTGGACAACCTCCCAGGTCTGGAAGTCCACATCATAGCAGTGTAGCTCATTGGGCAGAGTGTTGTCAGCTGCACCCCCAAACACATAGAGGTGGCGGTCAAAGGCCACCATCGTGTGCCCGTAGCGCCGCTGGGGGGGCGGCGGGGAGCCCCGAAGCAGGTGCTCAGTGGGAATGCGTGTCCACCTGGGAATACGCAACACAGAATCAGTGCAAGGCAGAGACTTCTGTTCCCCTGAGGCCTCCACCTGGGCTCTGAGGTCCCCCCACTATAGGCTCAGTCTGCAAAGTGTCCTGAAACCCCTGGGAGACTTTTCCGGGCTGAGGGAGGGCCACAGTGCATGTGCCCAGTGTCCCTTGTCCCATTTTGCTCTGGAACCAGCTCCGCCCACCTTTGTGTGGGGAACAAGGTGCAAGCTGGGTGGGAGGCTGCCTGGGGGCTGGCCTGTGAGGAAGATGGCAACACAGTGACTCCACCCAAAGGGGCCACCAGAGTCACCCAATACCCACCCAGCTGCTGCTGGTGGCCGAGTCTTTCATGGTTTTCTTCCTACTCTATCCCCTTAACCCCAAGCTGTAGCTCTGCCCCCTAGTTCTGGCCTGGGCCCCTTGTCCTGCAACCCTCTGCCTTCTAGATGCACCTTCTTTAGCCTGCTCCACAGGACACCGTGGCCCAGGTGCAGCCCTCAAGCCCTGTGTCCCCCCCAATACCTTCACCTCCGTGAGGACCCCCTTGCAGGTCAGCCACCTGGCCAGTTGGCCAGAGCCTGCATGTCTGCCCCAAACCTTCCCCAGTCTGGTTATACCCGGCCTCTACCCATGCCCCTCACTTCTCTAGGTCTGCCCCTGCCTGCTCTGAGCCCTCTGACACCCACTGTCCTGAGGACCAAGGCCAGGGTGGAGCATCGGGCCTGTGTGCAGTGTGTCTCTCCTCCCAGGCCTGGCCACTCCAGGACAGGCATCAGCAGGGTTTCCCCTGCCCAGGATGCCCAGCCTTCCTACTTCCCAGCTGATACCCTGGTCTCTAGGGCAACTCCAAGTTCCCTCCGGAGCCTCTCTAACCTGCAGCCAAAGCTCCATTTCCTCTCCTCTACTAACTCCTAGAGCCAATGCCTGACCCTCGCCTTAGTCCCCATCACAGGGATCGAGGGCTGGCCAGCAGTCAAGAACATCATAGGCTGAAAGCTCTCAGGGCCCAGACACCCCTCCAGTTTTCTGCCATCATATGAGATCTATGCCAGGCATATTTGTTACTGGTGGCACTGACAATGCCATCCATGGGGCTGGGGTGCTCTTTGCTCAAAGAGGGGAAACAAAAAACAAAAAAAACTAAAAGCCCTGGCTGGTTTGGCTCAGAGGTTAGAGCGTCGGCCCACAGTCAAGAGAGACCCGGGTTCGGCTCCCACTAAGGGCATGTACCTCAGTTGCAGTTTGTCCCCGGCCCTGGTTGGTCGTGCGGGTGGCAGCCACTTGATGTGTCCCTTTCACGTCGATGTTTCTCTCTCTCTCTCTCTCTTCCTCTCTCTCCCTCCCACTTTATCTGTACAAAAAATGGAAAAATGTCCTCGGGTGAGGATAAGAAAAAAAAAAAAGAGGGAGGCCACCCAGCATCTATCTTGCTGAGTTGCAGCCACACCAAGGGGCCTGCAGGGGGCCTCAGGCCCAGTCTGTACAAAGACACCACACATCCCCTTTCCGGGAGAGAGGACAGCTGGCCCTGCCTTACTTGGGAGCTCACAAGGATGGCTCCAGATGCAGGCACGGGGTGCCGGCCAAGGGCCCCACCACCAGGACACTCACATCTTGTCCTTGAATTCAAACTGGAAGAGGTTGTTGGTTATCTTGGCTCCACTCTGCCCTGAGAACACAAACATCTTGTCCCTGCAAACAGCCACTGGGAAGTTGCAGCACGATGGTGGGATCTCGCCACTCTGGACCACCTGTGGGGATGGGGAGGCAGTTCAGCCCAGGACCTTCACAGGACCCAGAGTACACATCTGTGCTTACATGGCTGAGCTGGGACTGCCTTTATTCCTGAAGTTTCTTCTGTGAATGAGGGGTTATATGTCACTCTTTGCAGAACAACCTAAAGCCACACCCTCCTAAACTGGGGTTAAAATCATCACTAAAGAAGAAAGAAACCCCCCAGGGAAAGACAGTAGAGCAATTGGACAGATTGGTCTCGAAAAAGCAGCCAGTGGGATAGCGGGTGACATGCTGTCCTCACTATGTTCAGATAAGGGTGGGTTATACCTGAACCACATCAATCACCTGTGACAGGCTGCCATGCAAAGCACAGAGTCTTTGGTCACTAGGGAACTGCCACTGGAACCGGCATGAGGGCCAGGCAGGTCAGTGGGAAGGGCGAGGCAGAGGACAAGGCTGGGCTTTGGCAAAAGAAGCAAAGCAGCCTCCAGCCCAACCCACCTTGGCCCACCCCAGTCCCTGAGTGCCTCACCTCACTGCCTCCTGTACCCACCCCGTTTCCCTGCACCCCTCACCTCCCTTCCCCCCCTGCCCCCTATAATCCCATATCCCCCTGCCTCTCCACAACCCCACCTCAGCCCCACAGCCCCTTACCTCCTCCCAGCATGTGAGCTCTCGGTCCTGCAGACCAATGGTCCACATATCATTCAACCTACATGAGGACAAAGGGGTCAGAATGCCTACCGCTGGGGCTGGCTGTCAGCTGGGCCTGGGCGTGGCCAGGAGGGATGACTCCAGGGAAGAACAACCCATCACTTGGGACTCTGACCAGGGGACTCTAAGGCAACCATGCAGTTGAGGGGCTGTGGGGACTACCTGAGGCCCTGTTATGCCAGGCCCCTGCCCAACCCAGGCAAGAAGAAAGGCCTCATTCCCAACATCTAGGGCAGGGGACAGGGTCAGTCCCTCAGCTGATCCCTGGAGCTAGGACTTCAGAGAGGCCACATTCACAGAAATTGCACTGTCTAGAGTTTTATAATGATGAAGTTTTGGGGAATGAGCACATGCTGTTTTTATAATCAGAAAAATACAGCAAAGTCAATTACTAAAATCAGAAGGAAAATGTCTATGACGTAAGCAGCAACTCTGTTGTGCTCTGTAGAGGAGGGCCCGAGTCTGAGCCCTGCTGCTGCCACCCACCTGCTCACTTGCCCTTTAGGGTCATTCCTTGCCGTGGGCCTGCACATTCTCACCCTAGAAATTCAAGGGGCCACCTCTCCCACGCCCCAGCTCTGATGACCCCCAGCTATTTACTCTGGAGACTTATACGAAAGCTGTACAAACATGGGCCAGGCTTGATGCTGCCTCAGACACCCTAGGAGGGGCCTCAGGGGTGCCAGTCCTTCTGACCATTGTGGGGTAGGGCAGGGGCTCCATTCAGTGGCCACCATCCTCATCCTGACCATTTTCCTCTCCCCATCACCCCCTTCCCCCACACCCACCCTCCTGAGAGCCCTCTAAAACCAAGAAGGCCCACTCTGTGCCCCAATACACTGGGCCACTCAGAGGTGGAGTGCACAGGCCAGGCCACCACCTACCTGGCATTGCCATCATAGCCAGCAAAGATCCATAACTTGTCACTGTACACCGTGGCACCATGGGCTGACCTGGCGACTGGCAACCTGGAGCATAAGATGGAGAGGGAATGAGGCCACTCAGTGCAGACCCGAGCCTCCTAACCCTACAAGGCTAGTCCACTGGCCACAGCCCTGCAAGTCCTGCCAAGCCCCGGGACTGCCGTGTCCACATCTGTTGACACTGGGACTCCAGGGTCTCCAGTCAGGATATAATCAACAGCACGAGGGGGCTGAGCTCATGTGGCACCAGGTCACTGATGATGCATTCAGATAACCATAGAGCACAGTCTTCTCCCAGCTGTTACCAAAATATCAAAGGGGGTGCTCGCAACACAGGACCATTGAAGCGCCCATCACAGAACATTCAGGTCCCTTCTACTACCTGAAAGGAGGCAATCGAAGAGATGGGAGGAGTCTGCAAACAGGTGCAGCTTGGAATCAGCACCAACTCCCAGCTCCCAGGCCTCTCTGAGCCTCAGGCTTTTCATCTGTAATGCTACAGGGCCAGAGAGCCTGCAGAATAACCCCCAAAGGTTTAACCGTCTCTCACCGTCCTTCAATTTTCCACTCTGTCCACTGGCCAGTTGCAAACTTGTATTCAAAGAGGTCATTTTTATTCTTCAAGTTAGAATTGGAATAAATGTCCCCAGTATATCCCCCTGGGTAAAGAGAAAGAAACCGTCACACCCAAAGGCAGCATTTCAGAGTCCTCAATCCCAGGGGATGAGGGCAGAATCTGGCCACATTGAAAATGCATTCCAGAACTTCCTCCGCACACCTTGGGAGCACCTACTGGGTGCCTATCTCTGTGCTGGGCTCTGGGAGAAGGAGCCCAGAGAGGAGCAGGACCCAATTCCCTGTCCCTGGCAGGAAGAGAAAGCCACCTTCTAGCCCAGTCACAGAGGCAGACCATTCCAACCCCAAGAGATCAGACTGAGTAATAGACAGAGAGAGGCCAGCCAAGCACAGCATGTGGGCCTGGGCCTTGATGGGAGGACAGGGGATTCTCGGCTTGGGAGGTGACCTGCAGCTCACCAAAGACGAACATGCTGCTTCCATAGACCACGGCTGAGTGGTGGTAGCGGGGAGCTGGCGGGGTCCCAGTGGTGAAGGCCCTGGCAGGGGAACAAGAGGCAATGGATGTCAGCAGTATTTTGAAGGTAATACCTGTACCATTATAAAAACTTTTTTTAGAAAATTGCCAATAAGAGGCTGGTGTGGCTCAGTAATTGAGCATCGACCCATGCACCAAGAGGTCGCCGGTTCGATTCCCAGTCAGGACACATGTCCAGGTTGTGGGCCAGATCCCCGTCGGGGAGCATGCAGGAGGTGGCCAATCGATGTTCTCTCTCATTGATGTTTCTATCTCTCTCCCTCTCCCTTCCTCTCTCTCTAAAATCAATAGAGAAAAAAAAAAATTAAAAAAAAAAAGAAAAGAAAAAAGCCAAAAACAAAACAAAAAAAAAACAGTAAAATTTATGGACAACAGTTTGCCAGAAACCATCATCCATACCTGGTGACTTCCCCTACACATTCCTGTGTATATTATGGCTCTGAGTAATTTTTTTTAAATGGAATCATGTGGTAGATATTTTGTAATATGCTTTTTCAACCAAACAATAGACTATAAGTAGGTCTTCAAGCTACTTTCGAATCATCATCACCCCCATTCTCACACCTGCACTATATTCTGCAGCATGGGTGGTCCACAAATTTTACTGTCAGATTAAAAACCCATTTATGCCCTGGCAGGTTTGGCTCAGCGGTTAGAGCGTCTGCCTGCGGTCCCGAGAGACCCGGGTTCGGTTCCCGCTAAGAGCATGTACCTCGGTTGCAGTTTGTCCCCGGCTCTGGTCAGTCGTGCGGGTGGCAGCCACTTGATGTGTCCCTTCACGTTGATGTTTCTCTCTCTCTCTGTTCCTCTCTCCCCCTCCTACTCTACCTGAACAAAAAATGGAAAAATGTCCTCGGGTGAGGATAAAAAAAATAAAATAAAAACCCATTTATAATCTGGCTGGTGTGGTTCAGTGGTTGAGCGTCGACCCATGCACCAAGAGGTCACCAGTTTGATTCCTGGTCAGGCAGGGCACATGCCCAGATTGTGAGTCCAATCCCTAGTGAGGGGCAATCAGGAGGCGGCCAAGCAATGTTCCCTCTTACTGATGTTTCTATCTCTATCTCCCTTTCCCTTCCTCTCTCTCGAAAAAAAATCAATAAAGAAAAAAAAAATTTTTTTTTTCAAATAAAATGAAGTGTGAGAGAAACAACAGAAATTTCTGTGGCAATCCCAGTGCTATCCAGATCTCCTCAGCAGAGGGTGGGCAGTGTGGGGTAATACCACCCTGGCATGCCAGGTTCAGCAGAGTGGGCCCTGAGCCCTGACATCCTCCTCTGTCAAAGGGGGTGGTCAGACCCCACCCTAGATGGCTGCAGGGGACTGAGAGAGCTGCGCACAGAGCTCCTGAACAGAGCGTGGCACCCAAGGGGCTCAGTGAACCTGTGCTTCTGCACAAGCAGATGGAAGAGCTTCAGAGGAAGCCCAGTAACTCCTAATGCCTCGATCTATTCTCCCCGCTTAATTATGAGCTGCCCCCAGTCAGGGTCTGGACTGCAGGGCACAACTACACAGTGCTCAGAGGGCTGGTGTCTTGTCCAAGGCTACATAGCTGGGGAGGGCCATCTACAGGAGGGAGGCCAGGGTCCACATGATGATCACTGCCTGTGTGGGGTCTCCTGGCAGAAGATAGGCCCCATGGGGCAGGGAGGGGAGAGGAGCCCCTGCAGCAGCAGAGTCACTCCTAGAGGGCTCTCCATGTTGGCTCCAGCCCCTGGCCTGGGAGATAGGCTTGGTGACCAAAGGGCTCTCTTGAGACAGACTTTAAGGACCCACCACCGGATCAAACAGATCCCCTAAATAACAGATTCAGAATAATAAATCTCAGTCATGGACTGGAAAAGAAACCCAAGAGATAGAACACTGAGAGAGGCACTGGGCGTGGCATGGGAAGAAAGGTTGTTATCTCCTCCTTGAAGCTATCAGGGCCCAAAACCGTGCTACTGAGTTCTGGGAGAAAGAGGAGGGACTTGGACCTCAGGAGGCCACCCACCTGCACCAGGAGCAGTCCTTCACATCAAACCGCAGGAGGTCATTGAGCATCGTCTTCCTGAAAGAGAGCCAGGGAGAGGTGGACTCGGTCCTCATCTGCTCTGCAGAGCGTCACCCAGCCAAGACTGAGAAGATGGACACTGCAGCCCAGGGTGGGGGTGCGTTGTTTTGGGAGACTTACCTGGGTCAGACAACCAGCTGATGACCTGAGGGACCAGAGAGATGACCAACCACAAAGGAAGTTCCTGAGCTGGCACATGCACAGGGGCTGCCTGCCAGGAGTCAGCACCAAAGCATGATCTGGCCACCCCACAGCTGACTTGAGGGCTCACACCTCACCCCGGGCTCCAGAATCCCCATTTGCATATCCCAGTGCCCCCTTCTCTAAGGCTATGCCACCACAATGCAGACACTTGCTCACATCTCAGGGGAGGCCCTTGCCTTCTCGCTGTTCTTCCTGCCACCTCTTTATCACAAAGCCAGTGTCGCAACTACATTTTAGCGGGAACCGAACCCGGGTCTCTCTGAACCGCAGGCCGATGCTCTAACCGCTGAGCCAAACCGGCCAGGGCGCAACTACATTTTAAAGACACAGCCCCGGCCAGTTTGGCTCAGCGGTTAGAGTGTCAGCCTGCGGTCCAGAGAGACCTGGGTTTGGTTCTCGCTAAGGGCATATACCTCGGTTGCAGTTTGTCTCCGGCCCTGGTTGGGTTGTGTGGGAGCCAGCCACTCAATGTGTCCTTCTCACATCGATGTTTCTCTCTCTCTCTCTCTCTCCCTCCCACTCTATCTAAACAAAAATGGAAAAATGTCCTCGGATGAGGATTAAAAAACAAAAACAAAAACACAATAAAACAGCCCTGGCCAGTTTGGCTCAGCGGTTAGAGCGTTGGCCTGCAGACCAGGGAGTCCTGGGTTCGGTTCCCACTAAAAGCATATAGCTCGGCTGCAGGTCATCCCCAGCCCCAGTTGGGGTTGTGCGTGTGGCAAACAATCGATTTGTCTCTCTCATGTCGATGTTTCTCTCTTTTTCTTCCTTCCTCTCTCCCTCCTGCTCTATCTGAAGATAAATGCAAAAATATCCTCATGTAAGGATAAAATAAAACAAAGACACAATAAAACAGAGTGGTGAATACACAATACAATATACAGATGGTGAATTATAGAATTGTACACCTGAAATCTATATAATTTTTTTAACCAATGTCACCCCAATAAATTCCATATAAATAAATTAATTAAATAAATAAACAAACAACAACAACAAAAAGGTACAATAAAACAGAAAACAAATCCACTGGCCATAGCACCACCTAACACAACCTGCATATTACCACCCAGCCCTTGTCACTAAGAGGGAAGAAGGGTGTCAACCCAACAGAAACCCAGTACGCCCTGCACACCAGCCCAGGCAAGGCCTGTGCTGGGTGCCCCCTGCACTGCCTAGCTCAATCCGCACCAGATGGCTGAGCTCTCCACCTCCATTTACAGAAAATGAAACAAAAGGGAGATAAAAGGACCTGTCTGAGGCCATGCATCCAGAAAGCCAGGAACTAGGAAGCAGAGATGTGACAGTAATTCCTCCCTTCTCCCATCTGTCCTCTGCCCCCCCCCCCCCCCCAGCCAGGGCAGGCCATCTTTCTTTGTACCCAGTCTACAAAGTTACAACTAGATTGAGACAAATCTGTATCCTGTTTCTTAGTGTCACATTGTAGCAAAAGTACTTCTGCTTGTTGCTCCACAGTTCCTGCTACAGAAGTGTCTGCTAGAGAAGTGACACTTCTGGGGATGTTCCCCACCACTGCCCTGTGCTGGACATCAGACCTTTTCTGGTTTGAGAGATTATCATTAAGGTTCCAGTAAATGTCTTTATTTTATTCCTTCATGTGACAAAGATTTGTTGAATTGTCTGGGTGCTGGAATACAGGCCCTGCTCTGGAGGAGACAGATAACAAACATCTGTGTGTTCTGGGACCAATGGAGCCCAAAAGAGGTGCAGTTGGTCCAGGTATTTGGGGAAGGCCTCACTCACAGGTGATTCAGAGGAAGAGCAGGAGGGTGAGCAGGAGGGAACAGCTAGTGCAAGGACCTATGCAGGATTCTTGGTACAATCAGAACACTGCAAGGCATGGGTGTGGCCCAGCACAGTGCAGGGCGAAGGCGGGGGGGGGGGGGGCACACTGATGGCCAAGAGGGCTGGGGCTTTTAATCAGAGAGGTGGGGAGACATCCCAGATTTATGAGCCAAGGAGGAACACACTCTGACTTGCATTTTCAAATGGATCCCTCTGGCTGTTCATTGAGAAGAGACTGTGGGGGATATGAGCTGGAAGCCAGGGGACCATGCCCAAGGAGACCATCTACCCATTCTACAGGCTCTTATGGGATCCTGCCTACCCTGTCAGCCCCAAGTCAGCTTCCCCAGGAGTCCTTCCCCAGGACCAAGGCTGCAGTACCAATCAGAGGCCATTCTTTCCCAGGCTTCACACAGGTCCTGTGATTGAGAGGCAAGGATAGGACTCATGAACAGGATGGACTGTGTGCAGACACTGCACCCTCAACACAGGGAAACTTCTATGCTAAGCCCCTCACAGCCTTGTGCACACTCACCCTCACGAGCACCTTGCAAAAGCAGCACATAGCCACCCCACATACAGAGAAGGAGACCAGAGTGCAGTTAGTGCTGTTAAGCCACCTGTCCCAGCCCAAAGCCACAAAGCTCTAACTTAAACTGAGCCTTGCCTGTCCAAAAGACAAACTTCAGCCCCATATCCAGCAGGCTCTCAACCCTCCCGGATGCCTGGTGGGCATCCCTGGCCTTTCCTGAGCACATCAACAAATTAAGACAGGAAACCCTGTTCAGACCTAGACCCAGTGCTATTCTGTACTATCCCACCTCCAGGCCACTGCCCACATTGATCCCTCTGCTTGGCACACTCTTCCCCTTTTGTGTAGCTTACTCTTACTCATCTCTCAGGTCATCAACCCTTCCATAAAGGCTTCCCTGACAAGATCAGAACCCCCCTCCCCTGGTCCTGTGCCTGCTGCACCTGTGCCTGTGTCCAGTCCCTGACATGGCCCAGCCCACACTAAGACATGTCTTTCCCTCTGGGGAGGTTCAGCTCCTGGGGAACAAGTCAGAGGTAAACATGCTCAGAGAAGAAAGTGGCTGCATAAACCAAGGGTTCACCTTGGCCATTATCTTCCAACAAAGGAAACCAGACACAGCTTAACTGGGAACAGTTCAGAGAATGGAGGTGTGCTCAACAACAGAACATCTTGTCATTGCAAGGAACGTTGTTTGCCAGGAATTTATAGCAATGTGGGAAAACCCTCCCACAAAATGAAAAATGTGGAAAATAAATAAAACTGTCCTCCATATGTTCTCAGCTGCTACGTGAGCATGTGAGTGAGACTCAGAGAAGTGCAAGAAAGGAAATGTGCCAGGGCAGATATGTTTCTTTCAAGGCTGTGTCCACCCATTCAAAACAAAAGAGACATTTCTGTGTCCTGAGCATATGCTACCCACTGGATGCTGTGGTGAGGGACTTGAGTACAGGTAACCTTACAGATTGGGAAACTGAGGCTGAGTGATTAGCTAACATTTGTAAAGATAGTAGTGGAGCTGCAGAAGCCCAATCCAAACCACCATCTAATCCCAACATTCAGATGCTCAGACTCACTCACCCATTGTCTCCACCAAATACATAGATGGCATCTTTATAGGCCACCACTGTGTGCTTGCTGCGCCTGGAAAGAAACAAGGGGTGGGCAGTGGTAAGCCCAGGGCACCCAAGGAATAAGACCAAGCACTGGGGCTGCCACAGAAGTTGAATAACACCTCTCAACTACCAAGATTAACAGATATCCCTAAATCCCACCAATACCCAAAAAACCCCTGCATGTGGGGAACCCTGTCACTGCCCTGGGACTCTCTGGACTCCTCATCCCACTACAGAGCACCCGGAACCTCAGCTGGAGACCCACAAATACAACATAACTCTAGTATCCTGGCCCTGGCCACCCCGCTGCGGGACTCCTTCAAAACCCCCGTCACTGCCCTGGGCACCGTCCTGGACACCACCATTCCTCCCCCTCCATAACTAGAACCAGCTCCAGGGCACCACACCCAAGCCTCGCCCCTGGAACCCACCATGAAACCCTCTCAGGCATCCCTCCACCCCCAAGATCCCTAAACCACGCCGTACCGAGCCCCCACGAACTCGTCGCAGGGCGGGAGGCGCCGCCAGCGATGCACTGTCTCAAAGGGCCCGAAGTTGAGCGTCAGGTACTCGACACTGTCCGAGCAGCTATGGTCAAAGTCCACGCTCGGAGCTACCTTGGACCGCGCGGCGCCGGCCAGGGCTCCGGTCCCGATCGGGCCCCCTGAGCCCCCCGTCCCAGCCATCCTGGGTCCACGCCGGACGGATCACCGGGTCCGCGGGACGTGCAGCCACCGCCCTGGGCCTCCCCCCGAGGGACTACATTTCCCGGCGAGCACTGGGCTGAGGCGCAGCACTTCCGGCCAGCGTCGCGCTTTGGTCCGTCCGCGCTTCCCGACAAGCCTAGCGCTCGTAGTGGCCCAGCGGCCGGGCGGAGCCCCTGAGACCCAAAGCTGCATCAAGTGCGTAACCTTCTGGGAAACATTTCCCGCGGAGTGCCGGCGCCGGATCCCCAGTCCCGTCTGACTACACTTCCCCGGCGCCTGCCTGTCCACACGCCACCCGGAGATCGGCCTCAGATCCCGGCATGCCTTGTCTGCGCGGGGCTCGGCTGTGGTCGTCCGACGCTCCCGGGATCTCTGGTGAATGGTTCCGAGCTCGCAGCAGCCGCCACAGGCAGCCCAACTATCCCCTTTCTGCGCAGGCCCCCCAGCCCGAACCCCCTCGTCTGTCCTCGATATTCATATTGGCTGAGAGGCAGCGTGGCGCAGAGGCTCCGGATTCTCATTTCTACTTTATAGCAGAGCCTCAGTTGCTTCACCTGCGAAATGCCGCTTTGGTAGGCACTGGCTGCTTGGAGAAGCATGAGGTCTGTCTCAGGACCCATCTCCTACAGCCCTAAGTGGGCAAATGCCCCCTAGCTGCCAAACTGTTGCTATCTCTGAGCTCTGAAGAAGCACGTCCTGTCTCAAGCCCTTTGCACCTGCAGTTCTACCTGAATCAAAATCCAGAACCAAAACACTGGTTGGAGAAGCCCTTCCTAACCCTGGGAACAGAAGAAGCTGCTCCCTCCTTCGGGCACTCAGACCAAACTTCCTTGGTGTGGCACTGAGCATTCCATGGTTGTGCCTGTCTCCCCATTATCTGCTTTCTCCTTCATGAGTGTTTTTGCCCAATTACAATGGAAGTCACACAGATCTGCAAATGTGTGTGTTTTAATTTTGAGATAATGTCTAGTATGTTGCAGGGTCCTACAGGGGACCAGTCCCAGTAGAGGGAGAAGAGGCAGGACAGGCCACTGGCAGCCATCAGTGGCAGTCGATGCCTTGGGTGGTGAGCATCTCTTGGAAGCAGCGGAGGCCTCTCTGGAGGTGAGCCAGGCAGCTGATGGCAAGCACTGAGAGGGCTCAGGTTCTGCCCTGCGGGATCCTGGGAAATTGGAGGTTGGCACCTGCCCCCAGGGCTTGGCCTCTGTCCCTGGTGCCCCAGCATGCCTGCCCAAGTCTACTGCATGCAAGCTCAGGATCCTTTCCCTGTGAGCCAGGACATGTCGCCAGTCCTGCAGGAATGAGGGGAGGAGGAGTCAGGACAGAAAAAGAGAGCAGGCTCCCCACCATGAGCAGCTGGCCCTTGAGGACAGCAGGGGTATGCTCTGTGCCAGGTTCTGGTGCCCAGCAGGGATGTGTACTTGGGCAAAGGGGGAAAGATCATCAGGCTGGGCTGAGGTGGGAAAGGTTCAGGATAGTCAACAGGAAAGACAGGACACGTACTTGCTGTGCAGCAGAAACAGCCTTTGGGAGTGCAAGAGGGAGAGACAGAGAAGGCGAGGGAAAAGCTTGTCATTTATGTCCCCTCTTGGTTCTCCATTGTTGCTAGCATGAGGACTACCTCCACCCCATGCCTCCAGGCATCCCCCAGTTCCTGGAGGCTCTTTGTAGGCAGGTCAAGCTTGGGGGACTCACATTGATGCCATGCTGGGATGAGGGTAATGACTGGTGTCCAGTGTCTCCCAGACCCTGAACAACCACCTCACATCTCTGTGCAGGGTGTCCCCGGGGCCATCACTAGCTGCATTTCCCCACCTGGCTTCTGCCAGGCTCAAAACAACCATGTTCAGGCAGATGTCCCAGGCTCAGTGATTGCCCAAGCAGTGTGCCTTGACCCTTCCCCACAGCACTGACCCCACCCTCGGACATGACCCCTTTTCCTCCTGTCTCCCAAGAGTACATATAACCAGCCCACTCCCAAATCATAACCCATGCCCTACATGGCCCCATAGCTCTGGGAGCCTCAGACTGATGGGGACTAAGAGTGAGGGTAATGGCCCTGGAGGGCTGTGGGGCAGCAGACTGCCATAGGAAGGCTGAGCTAGTCCTTCAGTAGACTTCTTGCCCTCTTCTCCAGGCCTCCAATGCCCACACTCACTCCACTTCCCGCTTCCGGATGGCACGGCCTGAGGCCAGCACTTCAGCCACCTTGGACACTATAGGATCGTAGTTCATGCTGGCCACAGCGATCACCTCGTCACCTCTGTAGGGAGAGAGTGACTGAGCTTGACAACTGCCCAGCAATGGTCCCTCTTCTTGGAGACCCTGACACACTCCAGTCCACCTGGGACCCAGGAAGGGATCTTACCCAGGACAACAGGAATGTCCTTAGCATCCAACCCTCCCTGCTTTGCACTTTAGCCCCACATGGGCTTTTGGCTCCTGTGGGACTCCCATAGAGGTTCTAGCTTTACTCCTCAGCTGGGTTCAGGGCTGGGCTCCTGTCCTGGGATTTCCACTCTCTACCTGTGTGACTTTCCTCAATGTAAAAGCAGGGGATCAACACCTACCTCAAAGAATTGTGCAAAAGATAAAATGCCCCATCAATGAATGGCAGCTAGAGTTATCACTGCCCCACCCCACTTCTCCGCAGCAGTATCTCCTGCCTAGCTCCTCCCTTTGCCACTCTCCACCGTTCAGGTAAATCCCCCTAGTCTGGAGCAAGGCTTCTCTGGGATGAGTTCCCCCTACCGACGGAGCTCCTGCTGCTTCGTGCCCCATCTCCGCCCCGTTGCTCTCACTTGGTGTAAAAAGCCACGAATTTCAGCTCCTCCAGATCCCCCTGGATGATGACGTCGTCGAAGCCTTCTCCGTACCCTGTGGGCCAAGCAGGCGGACGGCGTCCACGTGAGCTTAGCAGAGGGTCAGGGTCCTGTGCCCTCCTAACTGCCCCCTCGTATCCTCTTTCAGGCCTAGCTCCCCTGTGCTTTTAGGTAGTCCCTGGCTTCACCCCCAGTGAGTGCTTTACTGCTTTCTTTGGCTGTCGTGGCCCCGCCCCTAGGATGCTCATAACCCCTCCCCAATTCCAAGTCCACCTCTGCACTCTTCACACCTTAGCCCCGCCCCTAACCTCTCCTGGCCCCACCCCGTCCCGAGGTTCCTTTTACCGGCGTAGCGCAGGCTTTTGCCGAACATGGCGGTCCACAGGTAAGGGACGGTGCTGATCTCCGCCTCCTGCGCCAGCATGTTCTGGGCCGCCACGCGCCCTGCGAGACCCAGAATAGTGAAAACCCCGACACTAGCCCCCACCACCCCTACATTGCCTGCCTCGGTTCCCTGGGGACCCTTCACATGTGGGGTTACTCCTTCTTGCCTCCCCAGTGATCAAGAGGCACAACAAGTTTGGTTTCAGCTGATTGGTTACAGAGGGGGACATAGCGCAAAGCTGGCCACTTAAATTGCTTCTCTGGAGAATTTGAGTGAAGTGCCCTGGATCTGTAAGGTGGGCTTCCTGGGGATGGGGCTGCCAGGCCATCTCAGATGTGCACACAGACAATTAATCAGACATATCATCAGGTCTGAAGAGAGAGGCAGGAGAGCAGGCACAAGTAACCAGGAAACAGATGACAGCCACACCAAGAGCCCCAGAGAGAATAGTAGGGGTGGCTTCCCAGTTCATGAAGCCCCACTGGAGCCTGCTGGCACCTGCAGCTTAGGGGCCTAGACCAGGTGTGCACAGTGAGGACATCTTCAGAGGCTTGGTGAGGGGAAAATCTATTTCTCAGCACAACAGTTCCCCATTGAGCCCCAGGTTTCCAAGCTCAGGTGGCCACCTCCCAGGGGCCTGCATGAGGCAACTGGGTCCCCAGAGTCAGTCAAGTGACCCAAGGGAGACGCAGAATGCTAGCTGGCCTGTGTCCTACTAAAATCCCTTTCTCTCTCCCTCATGAACGTGTGTCTTTGAGTACAAAAGAAAAGGAGAGGCTGTTGGAAAGACAAGTGGGGTGGGGTACTGTGGCTGGCTGAATGAGAGGACACAGGAGGGAGGTCTACTGAGACAGGCCACACACAGGGCTTATTCTGTGGGGCTGGATTGATCACCTGGATGAGGCTGGCCCAGACAGGTCACCACAGAGCTTTGAATGTCTCTGCAACCAGCAACCAGGACCCAAGGTCAGCAACTGAGGGATGGGCCCAGGGGATGCTGAGCCCCTAGGACAGCCTCTCACCCCTTATCCTGCTGTGGGGTTGGCCATACCCTGGGCATGAGCCATCTGCCAGTGTGGAATGTTCACTTTCCGATTGTTCCTCCAGGCCAGGGGGAAGGTGACAGCATCACCAGCTGCAAACACTCCTGGAACATTGGTCTGCATCATCTGTAGGGAGAGGGCCCAGGACTCTGTGGGTGGGAAGGGGGCCCTGCCCTGGCCTCCCACTGCCCCCAGCCCAGCACCTTCCCACCCTACCCAGCCTCACCTTGTTGACAGGGATGAAACCTCGGGAATCCAGACTGATGCCGCTCTGCCTCAAGAAGCCCGTGGAGGGCACTGCGCCTGACAGGATAGGGCCACTGTGTCCACTTCTCTCTCATCTCATTTCTCTCCATGACCCACACCCTTCACTTGCCACAACCCAGCCCCAGACCAATCATCCAATGGGTTGCATACCCTGCAGCCTCTGTGTGTCCTGTCCCTTCTGCCTGAACTCCCACAGACCCCTGTGCCTCCAATTAGGCCTCAGGTATCACCTCCTCTGAGAAGAAGTCCAGGAAGGCCCCTGATAGGGGTGGGTATACTACACCACCCCAGTCCCCCAGCTTTGTTCCTCCCTGAACTGGCACCTCAACTAGATCAGGGACCAGTTAGAGGCATGTTTGTGTCCTGCAGCCCTCACAGGGCAGGCCATGGAGTCAAGTATGAGTGGGCAGTTGTCACTAGGAGCACCCTCCATGCCAAGCCTAGGCCAAGCCCAGTATGCCCATTCCCCAACAGCCCTTTGAAGTGAGTAAAGTTGTGGTCTCCATTTTA